TTATTTGAAAAACTGATATTAAGTTTGGTTACAGCATATATAAAAACGAATATAATCATCACGTAAACCAATTGTAACAGAGGGATATCAATATGACATAAAATTATTCTCATTACAGGGGTTGTGAAGATTGGTAAGTTACACAATTTTGAAACCATGAATCGATCAATGTTAGATACCGGCTCAGTGGTCTAACGATTAGGGCGTTCGCGCACAATACCGAAGGTCCTGAGTTCGAATCCTGTGGGATGCAGCTGTCGTGGATGCGCACTGCTGAGGAGTCCCATACCAGGACGAAACGGCCGTCTAGTGCTTCCAGGTTTCTAATGGTGGTCTAACATTGATCGATTCATGGTTTTGAAAATAAAATTATTCAAAAACCTGACCATTAACAAACAAGAGAGATAAAACAAAAGTGTTTATTTGAATTACTTCATATTTTTGAATGTTTTGTTTTTCAGAAACAATAATAATCACCACTTATCTATCTATCTATCTGGATTCACTTGATTTTACATACACTCAATACGTGTTTGGCAATAAAAAAATAAATCGTCAACTATGCCGATTAAGAAAGTAATCTCAATTCTAAGAACCATATTATTCACTAATAATCTTATAAGTTATCACTCATGGTAAGATTATATAGTTCAGCAACAAACTTCTGGGACTTTGAAGAAATTGGGCACATCACTACAGAGACTTAACCAGTGGAATTCAACTCTGTTGGCAATAAGACAGATATATATATAATCGATAGAGTTGGATGAGGATTCTGTTATAGATGTTAAGAATCTACTAAATTTATATCTGTAGACTATTGAATTCCCTACTAAGCAGTCTGAAGGTGTCAAGGCTCACAGGAGAGGAGTCTATGGCACAATACTGTGCTCTTCAATGATTCTCTGGTTGTTATCTGGAAAAAACTACAGATTTATGTTTCATTGCTACAATTTACACGCTAAATATATATAGAACTATTTGTCAATACCATAATCAAGATGGTAGAAATGCTGATATAATAAGAAAAGTAATTATATACATTGAACACTTGGCTCATAATAGAATTAGAAAAGGTGATTTTATTCATTCTATCCGATTAGTTGGTAGGTATTTATTTATTTTTAGCGTTTATAATAATACCACAAACAAAAATAAGTTGAATTCATTGTGATGACCTTCATTAATAATTTCAGTAGAAAGAAAAAACAGCCTACATAGTTAATTCCAAGAATATATATATATATATATATATATATATATATATATATATATATATATATATATATATATATATATATAAATCAGTTTACTAATATTATCCTATATTTCATTATGTTAGGAGGTAGTCGACAGTGAGGCGTTAAACCAAAGTTTCGTGCCAGTCTGAACTCATCAGTGGGATGTAACTGCAAAGCTTACTTACAGTCTAATTCTATGAATAATAACAGCTCTAAATATTAGACATTAGATATTTTTTCATGATACTGTTAATATGTGCTTCAACTCAGCATTATTCTTTAATTGAAAATAAAGACAAAGGATAGAAGTGAAGTCTGAAGCATGAGAAACAGATTCTTTTTCATTGAAATCATGAATCGATCTATGTTAGATCACTAGTATAAAACCTGAATGCACTGAACAGCCATTTTGTCCTAGTATAGGACTTATCAGCCGGTTCAGTGACCTAAAGGTTAGGAGTTCACGAGCGAAACCGAAGGTCCTGGATTCGATTCGCGCGTGCGAGGGTCGTAGGTGAGCAATCCTGATGAATCCCATACTAAGACAAATCGGCCTTTCAGTGCTTCCCGGTTTCTGATGGTGGTTTTACATTGACCGATCCATTATTTCAATGAAATCCAACATTCTCCACAACCTTATAAAGAAGGATTTTTGAAATTCAAGTTTAGACCTTCAATTTTTCAATTTGCATCACATCATTTCATTCTTTTGTTCTCAATGTGCTAATACGTATGAAGTGTTGTAATTTACATCAGAGCTGTGTATATTTCTGTTAGGTACCAGACTGATCGATTAAATGCTTATTGACAAAGTTCTTCCTCTTTTCACAAGTAAACTATTCCAGTAAAATTGAAAGACAACAGAATAATACTTGGAATCATGTGGTGCTTAACCCTTATTGTTTGTTAGTTGAATATTCAATCGACTAAGTTGCAAAGTATAATATTCATATAACTGACCAGTCACAACAATTTTGAGGACAGAAAAAATGCAAACATAGTTTTCTACATACATGATAAAGAGTATACTTTTAAGAAATACCATAATTTTTTGAATTGGATCACAAATTGTTAGTTATTGTTATTACCCTAGTCCTACAATGTGATATAATAAAATATTTTGATTCAAGTTCAAATATAATGCTGGGATTATTTTATTGTGCTAAAAAATCACCGCTTTTAGACTTAAGAGTTATCAATGTGACAGCATTCGAATTTTAAATGTTTCTATCGCTTACGTACTTATGCTTATTACTAATTACACATCGGTCTGTTGGAAAATATAACCAGTAGAATACAATTTCAAATATCAAAATAGTAAGATGAAACGAAATATGTGCAAGGAGTATGAGAAACATAACTCCGCCAGGGGCTTCTCTGGGGCTACTACCGGTCGCGAAACCCGGATAAAGGAGGAGTGTTGGGTATTGGGGTTGGCGACACCATTCTGTAGAAAAATTAACTTGCTAAAAAAACGCTGACCAGAAAAAATAATTCAGTAGTAAGTATGAGAAACATGAAGAATAAATTAGAAACCTGAAAGTGATAATAATAATAAATGACTAATGCGCTTATCAATAACCGATAGATTATGTGCGAAAGATTAGTTATGCAAGTCATGATATGGTGACAACTTGACACAATGCTTTTGCACACACACACACACACACACACACACACACGCATAAATCAAGTTTGAAATGATGAATTGCTGCAACGAAATCATCCATAAAATACTGTTGTAATGTAGTTGGAGCTGTATAATTTAGGCGCACTAACTTGGAAAAAAAAACTACTGAAATGTTTCGCCTGTCAAAGACAAACTTGAATATAGTTTCAACTAGGAGAAATAACAATCATCATCAGAATAAAGCTCATTCAGTTTCTTTGGAAAACACAAATATAATGTATTTGGGAATAGATGTGATAAAAACAATGCTGAGTATGATTAAATTTTAAACGGACAATCTCTTAGCATTTAAAATTTATTCACAACAGACAGACAAACAGACAACACAGAACTTCGTACATAAGTACATCAGTTCAGGTTGCCATACCACATTAGCACAGAGACGTAACTGTCAGTTCAAATCCAAGAGTGATAGCGATAGTAGAATGATTAACAGCAAAGGAGAAGATTAGGGAGCAAAGATATGATTCGGAAAGTATAATTCAGTGAGATAAATTTAGAAGGAGAAAGATAGAGATTATGAGGAATTCAGAAGGTTAGAATTAGAGAGAACACAAAGAACACAAAAGCCAATCGAGCCTTCTGTATCCGAGCTGAGATTTCGTCAGTCACCAGGCCATCAGCCCTGATGAGACTCCCAAGATAAGTGAAGCGGTCTACACGTTCGACCACTTCACTCCCTACCACTAGTTCAGGTGCCGATGAAACCCAATCTTGAAGCAACATTTTGCATTTCGAGGGTGAGAACCGCATCCCGAACATGCTTGCATTGTTGCTTAGGGTGGTGAGGAGACTCTGCATTTTGTTAGCGTCTTCACCAAGTAGGACAATGTCATCGGCATATTCCAAGTCAATAATCGAGCCTCCTGATAAAAGGTATACTCCTGAAAATTCAGACGAGGATAAGGTTATTTCTAGGAGCATGTCTATGATAAAATTAAACAAGAACGGAGAAAGTGGACATCCCTGACGGACACCACTTGAAGTGAAGAATTCCGGCAACAGTTCGCCATAAGCTCACAACAAGATTATCCAAACATTCCGCAAACACCCGTCTAAATATACCACATTCAAGCTGTTCGAAACAGGCCCACAAGACTAAAGTAATAACAATGACAATTTGTTATCAAATTCGAGAAAATCATAGTATTTTTTTCAAAAGTAAACTCTCTATAATGCGTTTAGAAGAATGCATATTTTTTATTGATCGCAATGCAAAGAGAATATAGGTTGAATAGAACATATTTCGCATCATTAAAAACTGTTATACTCTCCTTTCAATGATCACTTTTTAATAGTCAACCTTATATTAAGCGTGCACCGCCATTTTATCCGCGTTCTTTTTCACTTTTCCCATTTTTGTTTGCTTCTTAATTAGATGTTCAAACATGTCACATGCAATACAACTCATTATGAAGTAATTAATATCTCTTAGATATAGTTCGGTCGTATTGGCCAAGTTCATTGATAGTAATTAATCCATGCTGAGAATTATACTTTAACATTGATTGCTATTCAGTGGCTATGAAGCATATATTAAAAAGCAAATTACCAACGTTTAGCATGTGATTAATACATTTACCGATTAATAAATAGCAGAATTATCATTGATAATATTGATAGGATAATTTATTAAGGATTGACTTTAGTTAGCGAACCAGTGAAACCAGGGAAAATAAGTAACACCTGAAAATCTAGTAAAAATCTATGACCAACTTAGTTCAAACATGTTGTGTATATGATATTGAAAGATGAGATTACACAATATTACGAATTAAGTGAAGTTAAACATGGATATCAGATGAATGATCGAAAACTTAAGTGTTTGTCAAAAGAGCTGACGGTGTGTAATATCACTGTGGAATCCTAGATATTGAATAAATCAATGAATAAAATAGCTATTCGTTCAGTGCTTCTTCCTACTTCTTTTCAACGGATATCTATCTATCTATCTAACTGAGAACAGTTGATGATGTAAACGAGAATATTTAATAATCTCTACAAACTGTTTATTATACTAATGATAAAATCAATAGACAAGTAATTTTGATAAGTGTACACTTTATTGTTTAATGATGATTAATTTGAATAAGGCTAAACAATAAACAGGAAAATAGACTTACATGATCAAACTCGCTATCCCAAGTGGATCTTGTTATAACATATTGAACTTCATCACTCATATATTGATGTAGTGTACTAGTATCATTAAAAAAGAGGTAAAAAAAAAACAGAAGCGTAGAAGAAAAATTAGAAATATCAATCATAGAATAGTAATATAATACTTTCCATATGAAAATAACTATACAGTTTTGAACTGGAGGTATAAATGATTCAGTAAGAGGATTATTGCAACCAATCGTAACATTTTACATTTCAGTTGTTAATTAAATTTAGAATGAATATAATATCTTTATTATTTACACTTTTTTTTGTAGATACTGTAGTTGTTATGCTCGTCAATCGATATGCCTGAATACTATTACAAATTCATCTTTATCGGTAAACGACACTGAAGATAAATGATCCAATGACACGGATAGGCTACTCTAATCCAAGCGTCCCAAGGCCCTAACTAAGTAGAGGAAGAAGTCTTGATGCAAAGTAAAAGGTGTATTATACAAGCACCCAGAAAATATGAGGTTTTACAAGCATACAAATTGAGTTTATTTATACATCATAGAAACGTCCTTAGGAAAGCCACAAAAATAGCGTACTAAAGTAACACATCAACCAATAACAGTCAAAGATTCCCCGGGGGGGGAATGTAATCTCAAGGTCAACTGATCAGCCCATGTACGAAAACATAACATCCAAAATTAGGACATTTATCAAATGAGTTCTGATGGATCTAACGTCCCCAACAGTAGTGCTTCTCTCATAGAACTGAACTAATACTAGTTGGTTGAAAACAATCATCAAGAAATCTTGAATTAAGATGTTATGTTGATGATGACAATGATGACTTTCAAATCTAACAAAAAATCCAAGATACTCATTTCACTGAATTGGAGACTGATCCAATTGGATGCAATTGCGGCCCAATGTTGAATTTTTTTTCAAAAAACTGCATAGAATGCCAATGATTTCTAATTGAACCATCAAGGAAGTTCGAGTTCAAGAGGTCCGTTTACCAAAAAGACAATGATCAATTTCATTCAGATCATCAAGTTAACAATGGAAAGATTCAAACTCGGACAAGTGAAATAATGATGAATAACTTAAAATAATCAGATTTATAACCATATCACATGTACAAACAATGAAGTAGAATGAATGAATATCTTAGTGCTTAAGATAGACAATTCACCTAAAATAATCACGGTCATGAATAATAAAGCGTATTGTATAATCACTGTACAATCGCAATCCATTTGTGAATCTGATCCAAATAGTGTCCATATAAATAATGTGTAATGAATGAAAGTAAAATGTGACTAGCCACCGAATGTGGACAAACAAATATATTCAACTTGTTGATTATTTTTAATATGTGATTTCTCGACTATTATTGATTTCAACTCTAGCTAGCTTACTTGTAAATTATGTTGAGCAAATTATTTTTACTGGCCTATGGCGCTAGCCCTCTATATGGTTGGTTGGTTGTATATCTTGCGCCAGGTATAACCTGATTTAGTCAAAGAAACATAAGAATTATTGATTAGTAACATTGTTTCTTGATTTATGACACCTATATTTGTTGATAATGTTCCTTATGTTAGACTATTTTTAATTGTTTTGATTTTGTTTTGAAACTTGATCAATACGACCTGAAGCGGTTGAGTTGAATTATGTAGATGCTTTAGTGTACAGTATATTTTTTTTCAAATTGAGTATTAAATTTTGTGTTTCTCAACCAACTGCAAACAAACTTCTAATTCACATTTCAGTTGATCTAACCAACCAACCAACCTAACAATCAATCAATCTGAAACCAGCTTTAACAGATTTTTAAAAGAAAGTTTAAATAAACTATTTTCGGTTGTTACTCATTCGTCATTGTTGTTTCGGAGTCGGGAAATGAGGTAAATACTGATCAGATGGGTCAATAAATAGCTTACAATCAAAATTGGATATAAAAATATCATAAAACTAGTGATCGTTTGATAGAGTACTTATCAAAGTAATTCATGGATAAATTTTAACAATAATAATAATAATAATCATTCCAGTATTGCATGTTTATATTGCCTCTTTTCTTACACATCTATGAGCTGTGACGGTAAAAGAACGTTCAAAACGGAGATAGTTATATTCTTAGGTCAATGTATTGTCAATAAAGTTGATTTTATATAATCGCGAGTGAAAAACAACTCTTGTCTTTATCATTAGGATATTCTTATTATTACAGTAAGGTGGGTTATTAGAAGCAAAGTCGACAAGAAACTCTAGACCTGTTGTAGGAGAGATCAGTGGTGGCTAAAATACCTCAGCAGTAACGCCTCTAGTTAATAAGATGGGTTATTCAAGATCATATCTGCCAGAGCATATCAATTCTTTCAAAATTACAGATACACTTTTCGAACAAGTGCAAAATAACACGAAACCTAAATAGTTTAGGATTTCCTATCGACTTTCTTCAACCACCACCTCTTCACATCTCAATCTAATGCACGTGTACACGCAAGTCATTTCAACTAAAAACCACATTGTAACTTGATCGACAGAATTCAATCAGCATTAAGATGAACTTGACATACATAAGATTAGTTGCAATCAGTTGCAAATGAAACCATTTCCTACAGATTTTAAATATCTCTATTCTATTATTTACCGTGAATACAGAGACACCTACATATAACGTCAGTAGAAAACTACCCCTTCCCACCTCAAAAAAACATACCACTTCATCTTGTTTTGAAAATTAGTATTTTTTTTTTAAAGAATTAACATGATTTTATAGTGTCTGACGATTGTTCATATTGACAACATGTTACAATAATAATAAATGGTAATAACAATAATAATAATAATAATAATAATAATAATAATAATAGCAGTAACACGCATACTGAAAGCATAAATTAAGCATCATATCACCGAAAAATTTTAATCCCTTGAAATATATTTTTATTGAATAGATATAATGTGGTTAATAATGACCTCAATAATACTTCGACGCTTAACGAAAGCTCGTGAAGAGCAAACTCGAGAAAACCAGGCTGGTTTTCGACCTGGACGTGGTTGTATAGACCACATTTTCACACTACGACAGGTCCTGGAACACAGACACACATTTAGGCGTCCTACAATAGTTGTTTTCCTGGACCTTAAGGCGGCATTTGACTCAGTGGATCGTGAGGTTATGTGGCAGTGTCTGTCATTGAAAGGTGTACCAAATAAGTACATTAACCTCATACAAGCTCTCTACTCGAACACCACTGGTCGAGTGAGAGCTTATGGCGAACTGTCATCAGAATTCTTTACTTCAAGTGGTGTCCGTCAGGGATGTCCACTTTCTCCATTCTTGTTTAATTTTATCATAGACATGCTCCTAGATATAACATTATCCTCGTCTGAATTTTCTGGAGTAGACCTTTTGCCAGGTGGCTCGCTTATTGACTTAGAATATGCCGATGACATTGTCCTACTTGGTGAAGACGCTGACAAAATGCAGAGTCTTCTGACTACCCTAAGCAACAATGCAAGCATGTTCGGGATGCGGTTTTCCCCCTCGAAATGCAAAATGTTGCTTCAAGATTGGGTTTCATCGGCACCTGAACTAGTGATAGGGAGTGAAGTGGTTGAACGTGTAGACCGCTTCACTTATCTTGGGAGTCTCATCAGTGCCGATGGCCTGGTGACTGACGAAATCTCGGCACGGATACAGAAAGCTCGATTGGCTTTTGCCAACCTGCGTCACTTATGGCGTAGGCGAGATATCCGTTTGCTGACTAAAGGACGAGTGTACTGCGCAGTGGTTCGCTCCGTCTTACTTTATGGCTGTGAAACATGGCCAGTGAGAGTAGAAGATACTCGTCGGTTATTGGTTTTCGATCATAGATGTCTTCGAAGCATTGCTCGTATATTGTGGGACACCCGAGTGAGCAACGCTGTTATTAGGAAACGGGTACTAGGTAAGAATGGCAGATCAATCGATGAAGTGGCGAAACTTCATCAGTTGAGGTGGTTGGGACACGTGTTGCGTATGCCTAACCAGCGACTCCCTCGTCGAGCTTTGTTTTGTAGTGTAGGAATAGGTTGGAAGAAAGCTAGGGGCGGCCAGACCAAAACATGGCACAAATCCATGAAGTCATTGACGAGTGGACTTAGCCATGTCGGTAATTGTCGACTACCTGGTTGGGGTCCGCGAGATGATAATAATCGATGGTTAGAGACCTTGAATGACATGGCTCAAAATCGTTCGCAATGGCGCCAGTGCATTTATTCTTTGTGTTCTCTCAAATCCTAATCTTCTGAGTTCTTCAACACCTCTAGTTTTTACTTTCTAAACTTATCTCATTGAATCATACTTCGTGAATAATATCTTCTAATTCTAACCCCTCCGATTACTTCTAATACCTTTACTACCTCTTCTACTATTGGATTTGAATTGACAATTATATCTCTGTGCTGATGTGGTATGGCAACATGAACTGATGTACTTACGTACGAAGTTCTACGTTGCAACTGACTGACTGACTGGTTAATAATGAAATCTAGGGCGTGTGTTACATTTTATTCGGGACTTGGCAGTTGTATCTTAGAGTTTATGCCCACTCCTGGATTCAAATCTATTACTGTTCGTTTCAAATGTCACATCGAGTGATCCGCTTTGTTTACTGATTCTAGGCAGTCAGTTTAAATTGAATCATACTTTTTAGTGTTTCAAATATACTGATTGATTGAATACTTACACAACTTACGCATATTTTCCTACTTTTATACATCCTGCATCACAGACACTGAGCAAACACCAGTGAGTAGCATGCTCGCTTATTTATTAAGCAGACAAACATTATTTACCTAGTGTTAACTAGATGTAAGTCGAAAAAAATTCATGTGAGTTTTTATATCGAATAAAGTAATATCTACTGTCTCGATTATTACTAGTTACAGCTAAGTGTAATTCAATCATGCTACTATCACCAAATAAGTGCACTGGACTTAAAATTATTCAATGTTAAAACTGATAGATTTATAAACCATTACAATTCATTAAATCAGTGGATGTATTCGATCAAGTTACTATAATTTCA